GAGTGCAGTGTCCCAGGAGCAGACTTCAGCAGTGTTTGAAGGTCTGTGTCGCCTTGTCAAGGGAAACCCAGCAGACTGCACCTCAGCAGAACGTGTTGTCTTTGCCTATTTGTATGACCTTTATGCAAACTGCTCATTTTTAAAGGTAAGGAAGTATTACCTGTTGTTGGTAAGAAATTAGGATATGTAACTGTTGACTACTAATGTAATAAGTTGAGTTCTTTGTAAGAACTGTGATTTTAACCCAATGGTGCTAGGATGGCAAGAATACATGCCATGTTCACTGTCTTTTGTTTATTTATTGTTTGTACACACACAGGTTCCACAAATGCGTAATCACCAAGGAGTTAATTATTAGTCCTACCAATCTTACCTATTTACCCTTTTCCTAGGTGTTTGAAAAGATTCTTTTTTATTTCTTGTTGCTTTTAGTATTGTTAATGATATGATGATAATCATTATATCAATAACAATTATTACAACATCAATATTAATGCATTCATGGTGAGTCCTTCCAAGTGAAAACTATCGTAATAACTTGATGGTAGCTGTAGTAGCAAGTGCCCGCTGCTGGGGCATTTGCTCAGGAAGTATTATTGCTGCTTCCAACCCTGTGGGAGTGTAAGCAGAGAATGCAAATATTTTTTTATGGTCTATTTTCTGGTTGTCTTATCTGTGAGACGCCTTTCATTGTTGGATTAATAGTATAAAAAAAATCCTGAAAACTCAAACAACCATGAGAGCAAGTGAGGTCATTATGCATAACCATTGACTTCTTGTTGGCTTGCACCTGTGGAGCCATCTCAGTGCAATATTTAATTATTAATGAATTACAATAAGATTACTGTTTAATGTCTTTATTTATGAAAGACAGTAAATGACACAGTTTTCCTTGTTTCCATTGACAGTCAAAGCACCATGAGCTTTTTGCCCCACTGTACCCCAAGATTAAACAGTGCCTCTACGCTAGCATCACTCCTGCACAAGGTACCGATCCGTGGTCACTTCAGTTCATGGATGAATACATTAAGAATCCAAAGTAAGTAGAAACAAGTCTTTTACCTTTATATATATATATATATATATATATATATATATATATATATATATATATATATATATATATATATATATATATATATATATTTGTCAGTTTTTTTTTTCTTTCATTTAGCCATTGTGGTTATGTTTTATTACCTTGTTTTATATTTTAAGGAAAAGATGATTGAAGCTTGGAATTTAATTTACCAATATCTGTATATTTGTAATATACATATTCTGTGTTAGAATTAACTTCCTTTTTGCTTACTCATGCTAGGTTAAAGGTAGACTCAAGCATATTAAAACAGCTAGCAGATCCAGCCAACCGGTACAGCTTCGTTTGCAATGCTATTATCGACGCTTGTTCACCTAACACGTCTAATGAGAAGCTCAACGACATGGCCATTTTGTGTGCTGAGTTAACTGCCTCCTGCACAGCCTTATCTGCAGAGTGGCTTGGTAAGTTCTCTTTAAGATTGACAGACTGGAATGGTCAAGTTTAATATGTGAATTAAAATAAACACAATTCTTGTATTAACCCCTTAGATCTGGATGCTTCACTGCCTGCCCATGGCCCAAAATACAGGCATAGGGCTTACTTATGTGGCCACTCTTCCGGTTGTGTGACTTGTAGGCCAGGCTCACAAATACTCACGTGTGGTGACAAGACTCCATGCCTCCCCTTTACAATGTTATCTTCTCTTTTTCTACACAAGCATTTGTATTTTATTTTCTTGCCATTTTCCAATGTGTATATTTGTCATTTTATATGCTTTATTCAGATAGTAATCGACTGTTTTCCTTACACCATATCATCTCCCAAGGTAGTCCATAACCCAATTGAATAATAATGATAATAAGTAACATTTTGTTATTTGTGTCATTTTAACATTTTTTCGTAATTTTATATTTCTGTAATACAACCTGCACCACCACAGATCACAGTGATCAGGAATAGAATCCTGAGCATGGAAATAACATCCTCCCTAGAACTGGAACTCTTCCAGTCATGACTCACGGATGATACATATTGCACTTGTTTATTGATGGAAATAATGCAGTAGTCCCTTCCTAAATGCCACTGAGTCTAATCACTCTCCAAGAGCTTTGTGCACTTGTGGTGAGGCATTCCCATCACCCCAGCCTTCAGCCGAAATTCCTGTGATGGGAAGTTCCTGCCCCCCCTGGCCCTCAGCCAGATTTTTGCATGGCATGTTCATGTCACCCCCCACAAGCCAAACTATTTTAATGACAGGATGGTCGTGTCATCCAGATCATAGGGGTTAAGATAGTGATAGGAAAATGTTGAACTGTTTAGTGAATATATTATTTTCTTCTTACAATGTATTATGAAATAGGTTTTTTGTTTTGTTATCCATGAATTATATGATTTATACTTATAGTGATGTCTCTTCCATACAAAACCCAGTACATACACATAACACAACAATCCCCAAATTCCAACAGGAGTGCTAAATGCGCTGTGCTGCTCGTCGAAGGAGAGCCCGGGGTACATTGATGTACTAACGCAAGTGGGTCTCCGTGACCCCCTAGCTGCCCCAACCATCCACAGCTCACTTGCTGTCTTCACTGCTATCCTCATTGCACGACACTGCTTTACTCTTCCTGACTTCCTAAAGTGTGTTGTTCTGCCCTCCCTCATGGAGGCTTGGAATACAGGCAAGTACATAGCAAATAACAGATAAGGTAACAAAAAAGTAATGTGTACGTTTAGATTTTTTTCTTTTTCTTTTTTTTGTTATCTCCATTATTGTATTATTTTTTATGTAGGATTTATTCTCCTGAAAAAAGAATTTAGAGGGGGGTGTCCCTGTGTCATAGTGCATAATTAGCCTTTGAAGTAAGTAGTATGTAGTTGAGGGAGTGTGAATGTCAGCTTGGCCATTTAAGGAAGGATTTTGATTTCCCAGACTTGAATTTATTATTATAGAATTAGTTCATGAAACTTATATTTGTTTTGCATTCATTTGTGTAGTACTTAATTTTAAGTGTGGACTGGGATTATCTTGGTCAGTGGCACCCACACATCAGTTCCTCTCCAAATTCCAGTCTTACAACTTTCATATCATCCCATGGAGTCTTAGAATACAAAGGATGAATTTGTTAGGTGTCAAATATTAATTTTATCATTGATTCATAATCTTCACTCTGCCTTTTATCCCAATTGTGAAGTATGGGACTTTGCCACTAATATTCTTTATATCCCATTATTCTGAAGCTGCATTTCTTGCTTTGCCACAATTAATTTAGTTTAGTTAAGAGTCTGGGTGCATTAGTCACTGAGCACCACATGTCTCTCCTATCTAGAACATGAGGCATTTTGCCTACTTCATTATTTATAGAGACTGTCATTCTGCATTTCTTGGCTGTGATTAAATTTCTTTATGATGTTTGAGAGACAAAATAGTATGAAGATGAGTGGCATCAGTCTTTTCTGATGTAATTTGGATGGTACCTTCATTAGTGCTTCATGTTCATGACACATATGTTTTATTTTAAAGGCATAATTTAGGTAGCCCCCCCCCCTCAAAAAAAAAAAAAAAAACCCTGCAACATTTTGTAAAAATATGCTGAAGATTGTGGTTGCAGTTTGTTTTTAAAAACTGATAGATTTTGAGCAACCATCCACCTCTCAAAACTGGGTTTTAGAGAGTTCACCCCAAGTATTCCAGACTCTTGTTGTTATCCATATCCATAAGTCAGGAAATGAATATTTCTGCCTGAGAATGCATCAGGAGCTGATCTTGGTCTGGTACACAGATCTTCTTAGTAATTTTTAGAGAGGTTTCCTTATGTATGACCTGGGTATACCAAAAAATCAAAGCCTAATTATGACGAGGGTGAAGGGTAGAGGTAAGGAGGAGAACGGAGTTCCTTTGATATGGCTGGAATATATAGCAACCTTGATATGACAAAGGTGATGTGCAGGGCATATATTAGTGAAAAAATCTGTAAGCTGACTTGTGTGACAGTGTGACTGCTTCGTGTGTGGAGGACGGAGATCGAGGCATAAATTTTAACCAGTTTCTTGTTTCAGTGTTTCTTTTCTTTTTTGTATGTTCTTGTAAACACTACAGATGCCCTGAATAAGCTTATCGCTGACAATAACCGCCCACCTCACACTGATATGGAATGGAGTGCTTATGGATGCAATACAAGAGATGACCTTGACAATATATTTAACTCTTTTGATGGAAGACATTTTAATATTTCGGGAACATTCCTCGGAGGTAGGTGGAGGGAAGCTGCTGAGGTGATTATTTTGTGTTTTCTCGAGTTTTTGCAATTCTTTGAAAACATCTTTCATGTTGTGCTTGGCGGAATTAGAGAATGACTGAAAGCAGAGCTGCCTACGAATGTCAGTGTCTCACCTGGTTTGTGTGGATTTGGATTTTATAACACAGCATAATGTTCATCTGCCTTTTGACAAGGAAAGTATAACCTCAGACATAATCTAAACTTTTGAACCAAACATATGAACATGCGTTACTTTTTTTTTTTCTTCTTTTTTTTCTACTTAAAAAAAATCTTTTCCCTAATGTCAATTCAGAAGCGAGTCTACATTACATCACATAGATTCATTTGTAACATTTTCTGTCTGTACTTTTCATGTTTATTTTTTCTTTGTCTTTTTATGCTTTGCAGAGCTGGAACAGAGGCAGGGCCTACATTGCATATGTCTTATGTGATTTGTGTGGATTATTGCACCATATTTTTTGTTTTAGTTTGTACACAATATCAATATTGATTTTTCATGCCATATTTTGATTTGTGGGTACTACAGTGTACCAGTGTCATACCATATTTCTTGAGTTTATGCATATCACATCAGTATTGATTTTCATGATTTGCTACACCATATTTTGATTTCTGTTTTTTTTTCACACCATGTATTTACACCAAACTTTTTTTGATTTTTGTCTTTTGATTGGATGAGTGGCTCTCTTCTAATGGTGGGGTGATTTTCAATGTTGGATGATATGGCTGTTTATTTAAGACAAAATATGATGTTTTTAGTGATCAGTGTAGTTGTTTAGATAATTGTATATGTGAGATAGGAATTTTCAGAAATTACATGAAAAGAAGTAGGTGGTTATTCCATTATAGATAAGCCACAGAAGGGAACCACATTATAAATTGCATTATATTTGCACCTATGATTTTTTCTCTCTTCCTCTCTTTATAACTCGTTCTCTTTATAGGTTTCTCTCGCTTTATAGGTCTCTCTCTCTCTCTCTCTCTCTCTCTCTCTCTCTCTCTCTCTCTCTCTCTCTCTCTCTCTCTCTCTCTCTCTCTCTCTCTCTCTCGCTCTCTCTCTCTCTCGCTCTCTCTCTCTCTTTTTCTTTCTCTCCCTCTCCCTCTCCCCCTTCCTCTGTCTCCCTCTCTCCCTCTCTCCCTCTCTCCCTCCCTCTCACTATCTCTCTCTCTCTCTCACTCTTTCTTTCACTCTCTCTCTCTCTCTCTCTCTCTCTCTCTCTCTCACTCTTTCTCTCACTCTCTCTCTCCTCCCTATCACCCTCCCTCTCCCTCCATCTCTCTCTTTCTCTTTCTCTTTCTTTCTTTCTTTCTCACTTTTTTTGTCACTTTCCTTTTTATAGTTCATTTTTTTAGATTGCACAGATAATTTTCCCTCCCCCACTGATCCACCAGCATAAAGTTACTTTACTCAAATAATGCCACAAGAATGCCAATAAAGGAAACTTATATGAGAGATGTTCTGCATTACCCTCCATCATCCCCTTCTCCTCTTTTCTCCAGGTGAGGGCAACCCCGATGCAGAACCTGGTGCTCGACTCACCTGCCACCTTCTCCTGAGGATCTTCAAGAGTGTTGACACACCTCAGCCCTCACAGTACTCTGCTGGTATGTATTTGCATACTTCTCTCTCTCTCTCTCTCTCTTTCTCTCTCTCTCTCTCTCTCTCTATCTCTCTCTCTCTCTCTCTCTCTCTCTCTCTCTCTCTCTCTCTCTCTCTCTCTCTCTCTCTGTGCGTGCGTGCTTGCGTGTGTGTGTGCGTGCGTGCGTGTGTGCATGCCTGCGTGTGTGCATGCCTGCGTGTGTGCATGCCTGCATGTGTGTATGTAAACTATTTTATATACAGTTGTTCCTGATTCCTATGTAACGTAACATCCCTGGGTAAAAGATAAGTGATGTAGATAACTGCAGTTATGGAAGTGGATGTGGATATCCAGTCCATCTCTAATGATTTGTAACAAATCCACTTTTTACACAGGATCTTCTCAAAGTGTCACAGCTGGCATGTCACAACGCAGCATACGACTCAGCTGTGATAGGCATCTGCTAGCAGCTGCACACACTGCCATTACACTCAGCCCCGTTCTTGCAGTCCTGAAGGTTGGAATGCTTCAAGAATTAGTAGATTTATTAGTGTATAATCAGTAATATGAAATCTAGTATAAAGAACTGTACAAAAAAATATTGGTTTTAGGACAGTAACTTTTGAAAACAGTTGGATTGAATATTGAGTATCAAAGAATGTTATGATAAAATGCAGGTCAAGTTCAGTCTTGGTTACAATAAACCAGTTTTATGCTGTAGAGTGTAGAACAGACTATAGTGTTCTGCGTACCCAAGGCCCTATCTTTAGTCTAGCTTGAGCAAAGCAAGATTTTGTCATCATGATGTGATGTGGTTGTTAGACTTAAAACAGGATTTTCAGTCTAGATTAAATTTTCCAGATTTTCTTTATAGTATATGTACAGGATTTACATTCTCACACACACGCACACCCACACACTCATCACACAGACACGCATGTACACATATTGATGCATTCTATAGGTATAAATTTCCTGATATATGAAAAACTGTTTCCTTAGGGTGTAAATCTAGCAATCACTGCTCTGAATTAATGTTTGCATAGCTAAAATAGAAATCCCAGTTATTCGTTGCCCAGTTATTTGTTGCCCTGCTACTCTTTTCAATATTATGTAGAATATACATGCAGACTATATGCTTTAGCAAACGACTGGATATCATGATGACAGTCCACATTGCACTGTTTATAATGCATTACTATGAGATATTGTTTTGTCAGAATCTGTCAGATTGTTATATGTTGTATTTTTCTTGGTCATAATATGAATAATGGGGACCCCGTATATATCACATTTATACTTTCATAAAATAACTATACTGGTTGTAAGCTTAATAATTTTCAGTGTCAAGTAATCTTTTAAGGATAATCAACTGATGCAATTCTTTTGGTATAGAAATATAAGAAAGGATGTACAGATAGTACAAAGGATTCATATACAATTCTTTAGTAATCAATAACTTAAGCATATTTACCATCATGTTTAATTTCCAGGCCATGCTAATTGTAAGTGATGTGCTGAGTGGTCAGAGCAAAAGCCAGGCATCCATATCTGACATTCTGGGAACCTCTGACATAGGCAGTGGTTCCAATGACTCTGA